TCAATTGCAATGATTTTTTTCATTCTTAGAAACTTAAAACACGTTTAAAATGGTAAATTTTTGGAAATACAAATTTTGCAATTAGGCTCTTCCCCTAAGTCTGCCAATGAATGAAAACTTCATTACTATTTAGATCAGGGCAGCTATGAAGGGGCCTTAATCTCTGGTTTTAATTTTTTCTTAATATACATAGTATTCTTTGAATAACACGTTACACAAAAACCCATCTTACATGTTTCTTGTAGTGAGATAAGAAGGATTGTGCAGTTAAATTCCGCACCTTTTGATCTCGACGATTAAAAGAAATCATCACAATTGAGATAGGGTGGGTGGGCGGGGTTATATTTTGCCTTTTTTCTTAATATACATAGTCGTCTTTTCAGAACAAAAAACTTAAAACCTGCTTAAAATGGTAAATTTTTGTAGACAAATATGGATCTTACAATTAAGCCCCGCCCCTTGATCTGACAAGGAATGAAAAATTCTTAATCTTTTCTTAATAGACAGAAATTTTGAAAAACTTAAAACAAATTCGAAAAATTGTAAAATCTAACAAAACAAACTAAAGAATTTTTAAAAACTCAAAATTGGTTGCTATTAGAAAAATGCTCAGTCAACACAATATAAATAAACCCGGTGAAAGCAAATCAAAATTAATCAGTTAAGAAAAATCTGTAAATTCGTGAAAATTTCAGTTTTAATAAATTTATTCCTTTTGAATTATTTAAATTAATGTAATTGTAATGGTCTTAATCATTCGTTAAAGACTTGTAAAAAAAAAAATCTCGTTGCCCTAGGTGCTCTGGTCCACATATGGTAAATGATTGTCATGCTACTAATGAGCAACTGCGATGTATCAACTGTGTTAGCATTCAAATTAAAGACAATTTAAGTGATGAGGACATTGCCCATGCTTGCTGGGACATTAACAACTGTTTTTTGTATAAACGGACTATTGAGAAAATCAAGTTAAATGTCTTTGGGATATCTAGCTTGTAGCAATTAAACTATTTTCCTAACTTAATTTCTTCCTCATCAGCATCATCTCCAGCAATATCGAACAAGAGTGTAGATAAAGGAAATATATCTCTCTATTATCAAAATGTTCGTGGTCTCAATTCCAAGCTGTTGCGGTTCTCCAATGCTGTAGCTGCCTGTGCCTATGATTTAATCGCACTTTCTGAGACATGGCTGCACAGTGGAGTTAATGACAGTGAAGTCTTTGACCAAAACTATGAAATCATTAGAAGGGACAGAGACTTGTTGCGTACCAACAAACAGACAGGTGGTGGTGTGATTATTGCGATTAGATTGGGACTCCATTATACTGAAATTAATCTATCTAACACCCCTTTTAATAACCTTCACCTTATTGACATTGTCTGTGTTAAGGTGTTGATTGCTTCTTTATCTATCACAATATTTGTCCTATATATTCCTCCTTCGTTGGCATTAGATTACTATCAATTAATCTTTGAGGCGTTTGTAATGTTAGAGCTCTTGGATGACTCCAATATTCTTATAATTGGTGACTTTAATATATCTGAATTTTTTTCATCTCTTAGTAATCCTCATTGTATAAAAAGTTTGGAATTGTGTAATTTTATGAAAATGTTTGAACTGAAACAGTTTAATACCATTTTAAATTGTGATAATCGGCTTCTTGACATCGTCTTATCCAATATGTGCTGTTCAGTATTAACTTCTGATGATCCATTTGTAGACGAAGATCCACGTCATCCTTCTCTCCATGTAGGTATATTTGTGAATAACATACCATCACGCAATTTTCTGAAAGCAGCGTCTAATGGAACCAGTTACAATTTTCCTAAGGCCAATTTTGTTAGTCTGTATGAGGATATTCTAAATGCTGATTGGTCTCTCCTTAATAAATTCATTGATATTAACTCTGTCTGTTGCTTATTTTATGATGTAATATATAAACTGTTCGATAAACACATACCTATGTATAAAAAAAGGGAATATACCTACCGTGCATGATTTTTACCTGAAATTATTCGGCAGGTTCGTTAAAAAAATCAGCTTAGAAGGAGATATTTAAAGTACGGAAATACAGCTGATGCGCTTGCATCCAGGGAATTGAGACGTAGCATTAAACGAGAAATATCAATAGCTTATAATGCATTTATCAAGAATTCTGAAGACATGATTAACACAGATCCGTCAACTTTTTGGGGTTATATACGACGTAAAAGACGACACACCGGGACCGGGATACCATCTTGTGTGACTCTTGGTGATACTGTTGTAACAGGAGCAAAAAATATTGCTAATGCGTTTGCACAATTTTATGAATCAACCTATATCCCTAGTTCTAGCTGTAACCTTAACAAAGTTAAATATGACAATACAAATGTGAATATAAATGTGTCTATCATTAGTGAAAATGAAGTGTGACACAGTTTATCGCAGATTCTATCGATTGTGGACTACAGACCGATGTAATATATCTTGATTTTTCAAAGGCTTTTGACAAACTAGATCATGGTATATTAATTGATAAACTTTATGCTTTGGGCCTGAATATGCAATTAATTAGCTTTTTTGGGTCGTACTTAGCTAACAGAAAACAATATGTCCATTGCTGTGGATATGATTCTGATGTCATTACTGTTTTATCGGGAGTACCACAAGGTTCTGTACTTGGTCCGCTTCTTTGTTTATTGTTCATCAATGATATCTCGAATGAATTAAATGTTGAATTTTCTTTATATGCAGATGACATCAAGATATACAATAGAATAAGTTCAACTGATGACTGCCTTAAGTTACAACATAATTTGAATAGGATTGTGGTATGGTGCAATTTGAACAGGCTTTTGTTAAATCAAGATAAAATGTTGTGTAATGTCATTTTCTTTAAAGTGATATAATATTCACTTTGAATATGTCCTTAATGGGGTAGTCTTAGCCAGGCCTCAGACCGTTTTGGATCTTGGGGTTGTTTTTGATAGTAGGCTCACATTTGCTTATCATATTAACAAAGTTGTGGCAGACTGCATGAAAACTTTGGCTTTCATCATAAGGAACTCTAGAGATTTTCAACACTGTGACACTATCATTCGACTTTTTAATTCATTAATTGGCAGCAAACTTTACTATGCTTGCATTATTTGGTGTCCTCACCATAACATTCATTTAATGCATCTGGAACGTGTCATACGAAGGTTTCTTAAATATTTGTTTTACCGAGAGAATGGTTTTTACCCACCTATTGGTTTTCCTCAATCTGAGCTTTTAAATCACTTCACTTTCTCCAGTTTTATGGAAACTTGTAAAAAATTCTTTGTGTTGTTCCTAGTTAAAATGATAAATAACAGTGTTGACTGTCCTTTAATGCTAGCCAGATTATCATTTAATGCACATCCTCGAAGTCTAGTATCTCGCCACTCTGAAATTTTCTACATAGCTTGCCCGAGAACTGATATCGCCAAATTCTCTCCTATGTCCACTATGTGTAGGATCGGTAATAGAACACATAATAAGATTGGTCTTTTTTCAACATCACTGCGGGCTCTTAAATTCTTTAATTATTCCCAAATTTAGTAGGCTTTCACATTACTTCGTAAGTTAATTTACTATCTGAATTAACTGATCTTCCATGATTATTGATTACACGTATATTTTGATCTACCTAATCTGAAAATCTGCATTGGGATTTGGAGTAGCTTTAAACTTTTCCTTTTTGGGATTCACAGTAATTTGCTGATTAGTTATTCTACTTCTTATCATTTGCTTTCGGTTATTTGTTGGTCTGTAATTGGGTAAATAACCTATTGACCGACTATATATATAATAATAAATTAAAAATTAGAATCTGGGAAAATGACACATTAAAAAATTAAGATCTTGAAAAATTTAAAAGCTAAATTAAAAGTTGAAATCTGAGGAAAAATTTAAATATCTTCATTTTGAAAAACTGAGGGAGTACAAAACTGAAATATCGAAAAAAAGCAAATCAAAAATCTGGGAGACCGAAAAATTGTAAAACTGAAGACTAAAAATCTTAAAATCAGAAAACTGTAAAGCGGAAAAATCGAAGAAACAAAAATTCACAAATGGAAAATATGAAAATCGGAATATTAAAAATCGAGAGACTGGAAAATCCAAAAACTGAATAAACAATCTAGAAATTGACAAATCGAGCTAACTGTAAAATCTAAAAATTGTAAATTAAAAAATTGCAAAATTAAAACCGAAAAAATAATAAATCATAAAACCAAAAAACTGTAATTTTTAAAAATTCGAAAATGGTTTCTATTAAAAAATCCTCATTCTACTCGATGTGAATAAGCGTGTTGTCTTTGTCGAAGATAATACTGTTACGATGAGCGGTGATAAAAAATCGACGTGGTTAAAACTCAACAATTTATTTCTTAATAACTCGAATTTAAACGACAATACAGCGATTATGTACAAAATAATTCCGGCGCAACATTCACTGGACTCGACCATACGTTCCTCTTGCTCGGCGATCCCAACCGCTTCTAGACTTATCTCGAGCACCCATCCACGACTTCCGCCTCCAGGTTCTTCTCCGGCCGTTGTCACCGACAATGAGTCATCATCGCTGTACAGCCTACAAAGCTCTCAACCGCCCATAGGTGTCGTATCGAGGTGGCGTATGGGTTTATTTCGTAACAATACATTAAAAATCGAAAAATTTAAAAACGACAAATTGAAAAATCAAAAATTAAAGTAATTTTTTCGATATTCAGATATTTGAACATCTTGTGCTTTGTCTCATCAATTTCTCAACTCATGAGTCGCCCCTGTTTATTTCCCAAGCGTAATCTAAGCAATTTAATCATGTGTTTAGGGTTTATAATGTGTACGAATGTGTACGCATATTTTTAAATTCGCACGTATGATTTGGGGAAAAATGTACAAAGATCGTTTACACTTCTTTGGAATTTTGATAAGATATTAAGATTGATTTAGTGATTACAGACCATATGTTTAAATTTAGTTAATTCGTTGGTCCCAGAGAACTGATATCGTTATCTCAAAAAAAATGTGAAATAAATGTTTATTAAATTATTACTTTTATACAAAAACCAGGGCACGAAATAATTAATTTTACTTATAGCATATGTGCACACTTGTTGCAGTAATGTATTAAATTTAGTGTTATGTCGTGAAGATGCCAACCTTGTTGGTAAAGTGTGTTGCTAAGTTGTGTTAAGTCTGGTGATTTTCAGGCGGAATTTTATTTAAACGAAACTACATCGTGTGTATATTCGGAAAATTTTGTTTTTTTATTAAATTAGCTTGCACCATTAAATTTTTTGAGGCAATGACGTCTATGGATTATATGGTTATATCTATGACAAACAAGGAAAGATAAGCCATGAGTAAAGGGTTTTTCAAACGGAAAAAGAAAAATGAAGTTGAAAATATTCTGTACTTTTTTCTATGTTGCGACTAGTTTGTGTTCAGGACAAAATATGCATTACTGCGTAACCGAAGGAGATGCTGGACTTATAGTATCAGATAAGGAGATGGGGAAAGATGGCAATATCGGTTCAAGTAAAACTGGTATCTAAATAAATTGCTACATTGTATTTACGGTTAATCATTGTAGTCCTTCAGTATTTGGAAAATGTGGCATCAATAAATCTCAATATTAGACAATGGCAGCGCTCGTCTACGATTAATAGTGTTGTACTACAAGAACCAATTTTGGATGAAAGATGGGAAATCTTTATGCAGGCGAACGATGATACAAAATTCCAAGAGATATTGAACAACAGTGCAATCAAATCTGCCTTTCTTAGCGTAAGAATTTACAAAAATCTTACTGAAATTAGCCCACAATTTAACAAGGCGCAGGTAAAATTATGACTTCATTAGTCTTATTCAGTTATTCAGCATTTGTGTTTCTAAAATACGCTGTAATTTTTGGCTCCACTTATACAAATTCGCCTAAAGGAAACCAAAACTTTATAGTTAAGTTTAAATTTAACAGACTTAAAATAGTTTAAACAAATTTTATTGTATATAATTAATTATAGTGGTTATTGCGGTTAATCACAGTTTAACTGGTTTTAGTGGTATCACCTTAAATTTAACGAAAATGTTCTGTATATTTGCGAAACTGATTCGAACATCAGGTGTAACGACACTTTGGACACCAAAAACCTTTCCAGCTTCAATTTTTACATTAAGACTGTTGAAATTGATAAAAGCATATGGATACTACACGAATGTAAGTACGTATATAATTTTTAAATGCAAACAATTTTGATATACATTTTTTCTTTAAATCGGTAATCAAAAATTCAAGAATTTTTTGTTTTTTCAGATCATTACTTCTACATTAATGAGAGTAACGCCACTGTAGATGTTACAGAAACCTCAACAAGTTGTCCTTCTGTAAAATACGGCTGGATTAAACTTCATGTAGCTATGTGTAGTGACTGTAAAATGTTTCTGGAATTACAGTCAAACGATGATCCTAACAAAACCGAGACTTTTGACATAACCGTACGTAGAACGAAATTGGCAAGCTCTTTATTGTGTTACATAATTTACAAAAACAACAAATTTTAGGGGACCGGACACTGGGAGACATTAACACATTATGTCGTAAACTTTACAACTTGCTTTAAATTGTTGGCGACAACAATATTTGAAGGTACAGACGAAAATGAACCGTTTTGGGCAATTGGCGATAAGTTGTACTTTTCAATAAACGAAAATTGCGCAAGCACTACAAGATACATTGCCATTGATAGCAACAATTCATCAAATTTAATTTGTGAAGATAGCAGGAACAACCAATACAACATAACTCAAGAACTACCCACAACGCAGTGTTACGAACCTCCACCTACAACTACTACACCATTAACTGAAACTATATCAGTAAATAGTACTACGTCATCAAAAGAGAAAGAGTCTGAAGAGATTGAAACGTCTTCTTTTAATCTTTTATATTTATTAATTATTATTCCAGTAGTGATTTTAGTTGGTCTAACGATTCTATTCTGCCCTATACGAAAAAACAAATTAAAGTGTAACCGCGAATTATCAAGTAAAGATGACGAAAATATAGAACTAATGGAAAACGGTGCCCAAAGATGGACGTTCAAACCGGGCGAAAAGCACTGGCCCCCTGTGAAAATCACCGATTTCGGTGACTACATCAGCGACGTGTTTGATCCCAGCAGGAAATACCGTTACTGTTACATCCAAAACCAGTTTTCTGTGCGTATTACTTCCCGTTTATTAATTAACAAAGCAGCTATTTTAGGACCTGCCATCTGGGTTTATAAAATCTGCCACAGAAGGTCGAAAACAAAAAAATGCAGACAAAAATGGTCGCAGTGAGATTTACCCTTGTAAGTTTTTTAATTGCATGCTTCGCATTGTCAAAAAATGTTTCAGATGATCGTAATCGTGTTAAACTGGACAAGTCTTTCGCCGGAAAATATTTCAAAGGGGACTATATTAATGCGAGTTACATTCAGGGCTCTACGAATTATAAAGAGTACATAATTGCTCAAAACCCCCGCGCGAATACAGTCGACAATTTCTGGATTATGATTTGGCAAGAAAGAATTAGGTACTGCGTGATGGTAACTTACGAACAGGAAGAATATTTTCGTTACTGGCCTAGTGTAAACGAAAAACGTGTTACTTATGCTGATTTGAATATTACTATAGATGAACTACTGGATCATACAATCTTCCAAAAGTATACACTTACAGTTCAGAGAAAGAATCAAACTAGAGAGGTTTATTGCAGTATTTATTTGATGATGTGGCAACATTTTTTCTCGTTTTAGATATATATTGTTCATTATAACTCGTGGCAGGAGAACGACATGGATTTAGCAAGGACTAAACTTCTCCCATTCATAAGTTTTCTACAAAGTGTACCTCATTACACCGCCCCTGTATTGTTTCATTGCCGGTAAAATTTTCAAAATCGGGTGACCATTTTAATAAATTTATTTTTTCAGAAATGGTGCTGGACTGTCTGGAACTGTCGTTTTGTGCGACATAGTGCTAAGATCGATACCTATGACCGGAATGATAGACATGTATCACACAGCGAGGGTATTAATGAAGTCAAGAGTTAATGCTATCAGCCATTTGGTAACATTTTCGCATTTTTATTTTAAATTACTAAAAAATTGATTGCAGGATCAGTACATCTTAACTCACTGGATAATAAGAGATTTTTTGGAAAAGTTCTACTAATTAATAATTTTCTAGTACTACGGTTATAATTGTGCTTAAAATTTTAAACGGTATCTTTAAAAGACCAAAAAAATTGTCGCTGCCCTAACAGAATGATTTTAGGTATTTATTTGGTAGTTTAACATGTTGCTCCTATCATTCTTACGTTATTTTTATCAATTGCAAATATTTACTTTAATAATTTTCCTCAAATTTTTCGTTTATTGATTTAAATGTGACATACACTTGAACAATCATAAACATGTTTTTTATTTGCCCAGCAGACTATTTCGAAATTTAAACACCGACAAAAATAATTTACCTTAGTTTATATTTTTCCGCAACGATTCTAGTTCAAATCCTGACTTCGTGATAATGAATTATGGTTTAAAAAAATGGTCTAAAGTTATTTATATAGAACCCTCTCTCACCTGGACGAGCAGGCCGTTACGGTCGCAAACTCGCCATTGGGTCCCGGCTACTGGGACAAGCCGACAGCGACACGTCATCTTGACCGCCCCTGACTCCTATTCAAGGCCTGCACTCCTTGTGCAGATGGCGCGACCGCCAGCTCGACAAGGAACCGCGGACTCCGCTTCCGCCACGTGTTATTGTGTTATTTACCACAATTCTATTTAAATATTCAGTTTCTATAACTCTGATATTAAACTACAACTGAATAAGTGTGACAGTTTCCAAAAAGAACAATAAACAACATTTAAATTCGACATACACTCTCGTGAAATTTTAAACAACAAAGAATTCTTATCTGAGATTAAGATGGGCAGCAGACAATTTATGTGATGGAAGCATTAATCAACAAAATATTTACATGAAAAAAAAATCTTGTGTGAAGTAAAAGTTGTGCAGACAAAAATATTATGTGAGGTTAGGAACTGCACTTTCAATCCAGATTATACAACAACAAAAATCACTGAGGCTAAAATTGCGAGATAGTGAAAAATTGTAAAACTAACAAAATTACATGAGGTTCATATTTGCCACATTTTATCAACGATACAAACAGAGAATTTAACTGATATTAAATTTTTCCTTGATCCAAGTGACTGGTTACTTAAATTAGTTTTAAGAGTATATATCGTGCACTGTCCCCACCTCATCCCAAACAAACACATGGCAAATAAACACAAAATGCATCCAGTGTTGCCAGGAATATGCGTCTCGGTGATAAAGTTTTCCACGTTGCGAGAAATAAATATGTCTCGATGAGTTGATGATGATAACGATGATAACTAACTAAGGGGAAAAATTTTAATCCTCTGGTACCTCAGTCCACGATATTATGAATTCTACCGCTAACTATTAGCAATCTTGTCAGAAACCTTATTCATAATTTGATGAACGAAGGATGAGTCTTGACTAAGGGAATTTCATGGAATCTCCTAGCAAGTGCTGTATTTGTAGACTCTCATGACTGTTGCATTGTATTAGAACCAGTTAACGATTAAAAACCTAACATGAACTGTGAATTTACAAACAATGAAACAAATTTACACCACGTGTTAGCGTCGATCTAAAATTTGCATATTTCTGGTTGGAAAAACAAGTAAACTTTACCACTAACTCTTTACCTACAAATTCCCCCAGGAGAGCTACCGAATACCAGAAAAGAACTAAACGTCCACATGGTTGCCTATGTTTAACGATTTTCTTGATTGAATTTTTTTCAGTGCGAAATCTGATCACCACAACTTGATGTTTTATTTTGAAAGATTTTGAAAAAAATCTGAAAGGCTTCTTTCATTGTTAAAATTCTTTGAAAGAATCTTACAGTCTCCTAGTGTTTAATTTTAAAGAATTTGAAAGCATCTCGGTCCTTCCTAATGTCGTGTCAAGTGTGAAAGAATTTTGGAATCAGTTGTTTTTTTTTTTTTAGAATTTAAAAAGAAGAAGAATCTCGGGGACCTGTGGATCCTGTTTTTGAAGTAATTTGAAAAAAAAAAATTCGGGGACCCATTGTTTTTTTGTTTTTTTTTTTTGAGCAGTTTGAAATAATCTCGAGGACGCTCTGCCTGGTTTTTGAAGTAGTTTGAAAGGATCTCCGGAATTCTTTGTGTTTTATTTTTGAAGTAGTAGTAGGGATGTTTCTGTTTATTGTTTTTAAAACAATTTGAAAGAATCTCCAGAACTCCTTGTGTCTAGTTTTTGAAGTAGTTTGAAAGAATTTTAGGGTCCCTTTATGTTTTGTTTTGTTTTTGAAGTAGTTTGAAATAATCCGAGGACACTGTCTGGTTTTTGAAGTAGTTTGAAAGGGTTTCCGGAATTCTTTGTGTTTTATTTTTGGAGTAGTAGTAGGTATGTTTCTGTTTATTGTTTTTAAAACAATTTGAAAGAAACTCCAGAACTCCTTGTATGTAGTTTTTAAAGTATAGTTTGAAAGAATTTTAGTGTCCCTTTATGTTTTGTTTTTGAAGTAGTTTGAAAGAACCTCGAGGATCCCCTGTGGGTCTTGTTTTTAAAGTAATTTGAAAGAATCTCGGAGCCCACTTGTATTTTGTTCTCGAATTTATTTGAAAGAATCTCAAGGACACGTTGTTTTTTATTTTTAAAGTAGTTTGAAAGAATCTCGGGGATACCCTGTGGGTCTTGTTTTTGAAGTAATTTCAAAGAATCTCGGGGACCCCTTGTGTTTTTTTGAAAGAATTTCGGGAATTATTTGTATAATATTTTTGAAGCAGTTTGAAAGTATCTCAGGAGCTTTTTGTGTTGTATTTTTGAAGTAGTAGTAGGGAGATTTCTGTTTATTGTTTTTAAAACAATTTTAAAGAATCTCTAGTACTTTTTGTGCCTAGTTTTTGAAGTAGTTTGAAAGAATCTCGGGGACACCCTGCGAGTCTTGTTTTTAAAGTAATTTGAAAGAATCTCGGGGGCACGTTGTGTTTTGAAGTATATTGAAAGAATCTCGCGGATGCTTTGTGTTTATTTTTGAAGTAGTCTGAAAGAATCTTGGGGACCCCTTGTGTTTTGGTTTTGAAGTAGTTTGAAAAAATCTCGGGGACACATTAGGTTTCATTTTTGGAACAGTATCAAATAATCTCGAGGACCCTTTGAGTCTAGTTTTTGAAGTAGTTTCAGAGGATCTAGGGAACCCCTTGTGTTTTGTTTTTGAAGTAGTTTGAAAGAAACTCGGGGATTCCTTGTCTTGTTTTTGAAAAAATATCGCGGACCCGTTGTTTTCTTTTTATTTTTGAAGTAGTTTGAAAGAACCTCAGGGACCCCTTGTGTCTGGTTTTTGAAGTAATTTGAAAGAACCCTCGTGAACCCTTTGTGTTTGTTTGAAAGAATCTCGGGAATTCTTTGTATTATTGTATTGTTTTTGCAGTAATTTGAAAGGATATCAGGAACTTTTTGTGTTTTAAGTATTTTTGAAGTAGTAATAGGGATATTTCTGTTTATCGTTTCTGAAACAATTTTAAAAAATCTCTAAAACTCTTTGTGTCTAGTTTTTGAAAGAATTTGAAAGAATTTTAAGGACCACTTATATTTTGTTTTTGGAGTAGTTTGAAAAAATCTCGGGGACTCCTTGCTTTGTTTTTGAAGTAATAATCTGAAAAAAATCTTGGGGACACGTTATGGGTCTTGTTTTAAAGTAATTTAAAAGAATCTCGGGACCCGTTGTGTTTTGTTTTTGAAGTAGTTTGAAAGAAGCTCATGAACTGCTTGTGTTTTGTTTTTGAAGTATATTGAAAGAATCTGGCGGACGCGTTGTGTTTATTTTTGAAGTAGTCTGAAAGAATCTCGGGCACCCCTTGTGTCTGGTTTTTGAAGTAATTTGAAAGAATCTCGGGACCCTTTGTGTCTCGTTTTTGAAGTAATTAGAAAGAAATTCAGGAACTGCTTGTGTTTTATTTTTGAAGTATACTGAAAGAATCTCGTGAACTCTTTGTGTTTGTTTGAAAGAATCTCGGGTATTCTTTTTGTTATGTTTTTGAAATAGTTTGAAAGGATATCAGAAACTCTTTGTGTTTTATTTTTGAAGTAGTAATAGAGATATTTCTGTTTATCGTTTCTGAAACAATTTTAAAAATTCTCTAAAACTCTTTGTGTCTAGTTTTTGAGAGAATTTGAAAGAATTTTAGGGACCACTTATGTTTTGTTTTTGAAGTAGTTTGATGGAATCTCCCTGATCACTAATGTCTGTGGGACTGAAACATCCTGAACATGCTCGCTTTGCTCGCATTTTAGTAGTTGGTTTTTTCAGAGTAATTTACCTTCACATGAAGATTTCCATAACTATAATAAAAGTAAGTAGACTTAGTAATCGTTGATTCGTAAATGTTGTAATTGTAGGTATTATTCAAAATCAACTAAATTTATTAACGGGAGAATTTTTTTTAATCTTAGGAATGTTTGTGAACACTAAAGTAGAAAAAAAAGTAAAAAAGACTCCAGCAGTCAAAACGTGCTCGCTGTGCTCGCATTCTACACAATTGCGTTTTTAAGTAATAAATCTAGAGATTTATTATTTCAACAAAACCGATGCTGATTTTAAGTAAGTAGGGTTTATTCGGCAAAGTTTTAAGATGGCGTCATCAATTTTTTGGGAGGGGGTAAATTCATAAATTTGCTTTTGAATTGAATGTTGTTGTAATTGAGATTTTTTTCCAAAAATGTGGATGTCTAGAACAAAAATTCCACGGATTCATAAACCACAAGTGCAGGAATATCTCACAACCGAAAAAAGTTCTAATTTAGAGAATGAATGGGGAATACCATTGACGGCACCTCAGTAATGTGCTTATCGGTGTTTGCGCCACGATGAAACACTTTAAAATTGACAATGATCATTTACTTAATTGATATCGTTATCTCAAAGAAATTATTAAATAAATGTTTGTTAAATTATTTTTAGAAAAAATCATCCTTATTGATAACGTGTATAGATAATTATTGCAGTAATGTATTGCGCGATTTAGTGTTTACACGTCTTGAAGATGCTAACCTTGTTTGTAAAATGTCTATGACTTGTGTTAAGTATTTTTTTTTTTTTTCAAAAATGTTTCATTGAGTTTGACCGTTAAATTATCATTTGACGAAATGCCGTCTACGAGTTGTATGACTTTCTCAATGACAGATAAGGCAAGATAAGAAATGAGTAAAGGGTTTGTCAACCGTACTAAGTGAATATTAAATGTTCTATAATATCGGGAAAAGAAAATACTGAAATATGAAGTTTAAAATATTGTGTAGTTTTTTCTATGTTGCGACTAGTTTGTGTTCAGGACAAAATGGGCATTACTGCGTAACCGAAGGAGATGCTGGACTTGTAGTATCAGATAAGGAGATGGGGAAAGATGGCAATATCGGTTCAAGTAAAACTGTATCTAAATAAATTGCTACATTGTGTTTACGGTTAATCATTGTAGTCACTCAGTATTTGGATAATGTGGCATCAATAAATCTCGATATTACACAATGGCAGCATTCATCTTGGAATAATAGTGCTGTACTACAAGAACCAATTCTGGATGAAAGATGGGAAACCTTCTTGCAGGCGAAAGCTGATACAAAATTCGAAGAGATATTGAACAACAGTACAATCAAATCTGTCTTTCTTAGCGTTAGAATTTACAAAAATCTTACTGAACATAGCTCACAATTTAACAAGGCGCAGGTAAAATTATGACTTCATTAGTCTTATTCAGTTATTCAGCATTTGTGTTTCCAAAATACGCTGTAATTTTTGGCCCCACTTATACAGGTTCGCCTAAAGGAAACCAAAATTTTTATAGTTAAGTTTAAACTTAACAGACTTAAAATACTTTAAACAAATTTTATTGTATATAATTAATTATAGTGGCTATTGCGGTTAATCACAGTTCAACTGGTTTTAGTGGTATCACCTTAAATTTAACGAAAATGTTCTGTATATTTGCGAAACTGATCCGAACATCACGTGTAACGACACTTTGGACACCAAAAACATTTCCAGCTACGAGTTTTACGTTAATACCACAATTAATCAAAGCATATGGATACTACACGAATGTAAGTACGTATATAATTTTTAAAAGCAAACAATTTTGATATACATTTCTTTAAATTGGTAGTAAAAAATTTGAGAATTTTTTGTTTTTTCAGATCAGTACTTCTACACTCATGAGATTAACTCCTCACTAAATGTTACAGAAAACTCAACAAGTTGTTCTTATGTAAAATACGGCTGGATTAAACTTCATGTAGCTATGTGTAGTGACTGTAAAATGTCTCTGGAATTACAGTCAAACGATGATACTAACAAAACCGAGACTTTTGACATAAACGTACGTTGAACGAAATTGGCAAGCTCTTTATTGTGTTACATAATTTACAAAAGCAACAAATTTTAGGGGAACGGACACTGGAAGACATCAACACATTATGTCCTAAACTTTACAACTTGCTTCAAATTGATGGCGACAACAATATTTGAAGGTACAGACGAAAATGAACCGTTTTGGGCAATTGGCGATAAGTTGTACTTTTCAAAGAATGAGAATTGCGCAAACACTACAAGATACATTAAAATTACCATTGTTAACAACGATACATCAATTTGTGAAGATAGCAGGAACAACCCATACAACATAACTCAAAAACTACCCACAACGCAGTGTTACGAACCTCCACCTACAACTACTACACCATTGACTCAAACTATGTCAGTAAATAGTACTAGGTCATCAAAAGAGAAAGAGTCTAAAAAGATTGAAACCTCTTCTTTAAGTTTGTTATATTTATTAATTATTATTCCAGTACTACTCATTGTCATTGGAGTGGCTCTCTTCTTCTACATTCGAAATAAAAAAGCCACCGCCAAAAACAAACTAATAAACATGAGTATAATTAACCAAATGCATATAACCCACTGAATTACAACAAACACTTTTAGGTGATGAAGAGCTAGAATTATTACGTAATGATGGATACGAACTTCCCACGTTAAAGCGGACTGAAGACTACTTACCCATAAAAACGGGCGAATTTGATAACTACATTCATGACGTTTTTGTGGCAAGAAAAAATTATAACTACCTCGAAAAACAATTTTCTGTTGGTATCGCCCCGTCACCACCAACCTTAGCTAATTTCAGTATTAATTTCAGAACTTACCCTCAGGCTACTTAAAGGACGCCAACGAAGGCCAAAAAAATGAAAACTCGGACAAAAATCGATACAATAAAATTTACCCATGTGTGTATTAATAAACATTCACCCCAGCCTCACTAAAAAAATTTTTCAGATGATGAAAACCGCGTCAAACTCGCAAAAAGCTTAGGCGACGCTAACCATTTTTCGGACTACATCAACGCCAGTTACGTTGAGGTAACACAACATGAGTTAATTCAAATTGGTGCAAAAGTTACAATTGTAGGGTGTTAATGGGCCGAAAGACTACATATTAACGCAGAACCCTTTAAAAAACACCGCTGTGGATTTTTTCCGGATGATTTGGCAAGAACAAGTGGAGTATGTTGTGATGGTCAGCACCCCCAATGAAAGCTACCACCGGTACTGGCCGGATTTTAAAAAAATGCAGACTCACAACAACGAAATCGAAGTGTTTGTAGACGAAATGAAAACGTACGAATTTTTTGACTGTCGTACTTTAATTATTCAGCGATTTGGAGAAAAAAGGAAAGTGCAACATTTGCACTTTTATTCGTGGTCGCCGAAGATGGTTTCTTCGCACATTTTTCTGGAGTTTGTTGATCAAATGTTGAACATACCCCATGTGGGTCATCCAGTGGTGTTCCACTGTTTGTACGTACGATTTGTTTTATTTAATTTGTGGTTTGAAAATCTATTTTAGAGCTGGAATTGGAAGATCGGCTACTTTGGTTTTATGTGATATTGCGTTAAGATCGGGTATAACAGGGTATTATAACTTCTTTGATACCACGAAAAAGTTGCGTGAGTGTCGAGCTGGTGTCATACCAAATCCGGTAAGAACAATGGTAATCGAGACAAACTTTGTGACAGAATAATGTTTTCCAGAGTCACTACAAATTGGCACATTTAATTGTTTTCGAATCATCACACTATAAAGACACCTCGAATGAGATAAACAGTGATTTTGAGGCTAGCTTTAGTAGGTTGCTTGAAGGCAACAGTATTAAAAAAAAATGGTCAACGTATTTAGAAAACACGGACTGGTTATACGAAGCTATAAATCCGTACCAATTTTGTACAGAATATCCACCTAGAAATCGCTATATCGACAATAATCTACTACCAAGTGAATTTTTAATTGTACTTTAGAAACTAGTGACCCTTTATACTATTTTAGCACAACATAGTCGAGTGGCTCTTCAGTATAAAAAACCGGATTACATCCACGCAATGTTTGTTAGTGGTTACAGCCAACGGAAAGACTTCATAGTAGCCCAACAACCACTATCAAGAACTGTGTCAGATTTCTGGATTATGATATTACAAAACCACGTAACAACGGTTATTAATCTCAACGAGCCAGACGTTACACTTCGAGTAAAATCCACACTTCAAATATGTAATTTAACTCAAAGATATTTTCCAGGGAAACGTACAGTTTATTCCAACTCCTAAACACGATGTTGTTAAAATCCAGGGCAATATCACAATTCAGTTCACTAAACTAGAAGAACACCTCAACTACGAAAAGCTCACTCTGGCAGTTCACGCCTCGGTATATATAAAAAGTTTTACGTCCGGTATATACATATACATTTTTTTCTTGTATAGGGAAAATTTGAAAAAAACGTCGAAGTCCTCAACATAAAAAACTGGCCCAAAATTAAAGGAATTCCGGAATCGACGGACGTAATGATGAGCATTTGGGAGAACGTGAGGGGGCAGAAAACCCAGAATTTTCCTACGTTGGTGTGCTGCGAGTAAGTTGCTCGTTTTTGTGTGTAATAACATTTAGAGAAATGGTTTTAGTGACGGGATAAGTTCGAGCAGTCTGGTGGTTTGCTTTTTCTACATGGCTGATAAAATGCTCCAGGAAAGAAAGTGCGATGTGGTGGGTGCTGTTAAGGCCGTGCGTCGTAGCCACACGAAGTTTATCAATTTCGAGCAGTTCGTGTTTCTGCATCACTGTGCGTTGGCTTTTTATAAAAACTGCTACAAAACATACGGCGAAAGTCTGTAGTGCATTGGCGAATTGTAGAAAATTGTGGTGTTAAAAAAATTTGGTGCTCGAGTGGACCATGTACCAACTGTATGTTCGAACTATTATGTATTTTTATAATTTTCACACTTTTGTTATTTATTTGTATGTAAATCAAAGAATTATAGTTTTTACTGTTTTGGTGAGTTGAAAAACGGTTACCATCTTTGCAGATCCGACACTGATTTTGTAGTATTCGTTACTGAGCACAACGGAATCTAGTTGAAGTAAATTTAGGTTTGACGAAAGTTTCACCTGATGGCGCCACCATACAAAACCTGGAAACCTGCTACACAGACCAGTAAAGAATTATTTTTTAGAATTCTGTACTGGTCTATCAGATCAAAGAATTCTGTAAAGTCAGCAATTTAAATCAATATATTCATAACTCATTGATTAAATGGATACTTTCTACAATTTAAAGTACATAACATTCACACTTTGACTGTTTTCTAACATTCTCTAAAAATAAGCAACCGAAGAAAACCTAAAATCCTTTAAAAAGCACCAAAAATTTTGTTTTGAAAATCATCCAAAATCAGGCATAATTCCCTTAAAAGCATCCAAAAAACATCACAAATTCGCTTGTTTTTTGACACCCCGATTTTTATTTGTGGACCAGATCAATTGGCACATGCAAAAATCATTGGAAAATGATTAAAAAAAATTGGTCGAAAGTTATTTCAACAGAACTTCCCTCGCTTCTGAAGTACATACTTTCCAATCTCTAGATTTTTAAATTTTTTGATGTTTTCTGTTTTGGAATGTTTCAATTTTTCAATTTTTTACTTTCCCGATTTTCAAATTTTAGATTTCTCGATTTTTTTTATTTTTCGGTTTCTGAAATTTTCGAAATTTCGATTTTTCGATTTTTAAATTTTCGGCCTTCATAAATTTTCAATTTTTATTGCACAATTTCTCGATTTCTTGATTTTGGGATCTTTCAATTTTTTAATTTTCTCAATTTTTCGATTTTTTGATATTTCTCTTATGGAACTTTTCAAAATTTTGCAATTCTCTATTTATCGATTTATTATTTCTTCGATTTTTCAATTTGTCAGTTTTTTGATGTTTCGATTTCTCTATTTTACAGATTTTCGATTTTTTTTTCGATTTCTGAGCTTTCCGGTATTTCCAGTTTTACAATTCTTCGATTCTTTCATTTTTCGATTTTTTGATTTCTCGATTTTCCGTTACTTTTTTTTACGATTTTCCACTTTTTCAATTGTTCAATTTTTGGAATTTCTAAATTTTTGATTGTTAGATTTCTCAATTTCTCAATTATTGAATTTTCTTCGGTTTCTTCGATTTCTTGATTTTCGGATTTTTCAATATTTTAATTTTCTCAATTCTCAATTTTTAGATTTTTAGATTTTTTGATGTTTCCAGTGTTGGGGTTTTCAAATTTTTCTTCGATTTTTCAATCTTTGGATATTTCTCTATTTATCGATTTATTATTTCTTCGATTTTTCAATTTTTCAGTTGTTTGATGTTTCGATTTCTCTATTTTACAGATTTTCCATTTTTTTTTTCGATTTTTCAACTTTCCGGTATTTCCAGTTTTACGATTCTTCGATTCTTTCATTTTTCGATTTTTCGATTTTCTGACTCGCCTTTCTCGTTTCGATTTTTGAGTGATTAGATTTTTCAGCTTTTTGATTTCTCAATTTTCCGTTGCTTATTTTTACGATTTTCCACTTTTTCAATTGTTCAATTTTTGGAATTTCTAAATTTTCGATTTTTAGATTTCTCAATTTCTGGATTATTGAATTTCCGATCTTTCGATTTCTTGATTTCTCGAATATTCGAATTTTTGGTTTTTTGATTTTTCGACTTTTCGATTTTTTGGTTTTCCAATTTCTTCGGTTTCTCGACTTGTCATCTTTCGATTTTAGGTTTTTTCTATTTTTCCATTCTTCAGGTTTTTATTTTTAGATTTATTGATATTTTCGATTTACGTTTTTTTTAAATTGTTCATTTTTCAAATTTTCGATTTCTAAATTTTCAATTTTTTGAAGTTTTCTGTTTTGGAATGTTTTAATTTTTAAATTTGTTAATTTCCCGATTTTCAAATTTTAGATTTCTGGATTTTTTTTATTTTTCGATTCCTGAAATTTTCGAAATTTCGATTATTAAATTTTCAATTTTTATTCCACAATTTCTCGATTAATCGATTTCTTGATTTTTTTTATGTTTCCAGTGTTAGGGTTTTCAAATTTTTCCTCGATTTTGCAATTTTTGGATATTCCTCTTATTATTAGTTTACAATTTCTCCATTTATCGATTTATTATTTCTTCGATTTTTCAATTTTTCAGTTGTTTGATGTTTCGATTTCTCTATTTTACAGATTTTCGATTTTTTTTTTCGATTGTTCAGCTTTCCGGTATTTCCAGTTTTACGATTCTTCGATTCTTTCATGTTTCTATTTTCGATTTTTTGACTCGCGTTCCTCCTTTCGATTTTTCAGTGATTAGATTTTTCTTTTGATTTCTCAATTTTCCGTTGCTTATTTTTAATGAATTTATTGCTGGCGTTAAATTAGCATTATATTAAAATTTTTTGTTTTTTTGGGTTAAGTTTACTATTGGCTATTATTATGTCCTATGTGGGCGATTTGCCCGTTGGATGATCAATAAACTATTTATTTATTTTACGATTTTCCACCTTTTCAATTGTTCAATTTTTGGAATTTCTAAATTTTCGATTTTTAGATTTCTCAATTTCTGGATTATTGAATTTTCGATCTTTCGATTTCTTGATTTCTAGAACTTTTGAATTTTTGGTTTTTGGATTTTTCGACTTTTCGATTTTTTGGTTTTCCAATTTTAGATTTCTCGATTTTTTTTATTTTTCGATTTCTGAAATTTTCGAAATTTCGATTTTTAAATTTTCTGCGTTCCTAAATTTTCAATTTTTATTGCACAATTTCTCGATTTTTCAAATTTTTCTTCGACTTTTCAATATTTGTGTATTTCTCTTGTGGAATTTTTCAAAATTTTGCAATTCCTCTATTTATCGATTTATTATTTCTTCGATTTTTCAATTTTTCAGTTTGTTGATGTTTCGATTCTTTAATTTTTCGTTATTTTAAATTTTACATTTTTCAATTTTTTTGTTCCAATTTCTGAATCTGCGATTTTTTGACTTCACAGTTTTAGATTTTCCGGTTTTATTTTTCGGTTTTCAAATTTCTCGATATTTCAACTTTTCGATTGTTCAGTTTCCCGATTAAATTTCTCAATTTTTTAATTTTTCGATTTCACGTTTGATGTTCGATTTCTTGATCTTTAGATATTTCTATTCCTCAATGTTTCAATTTTTGATTTTTCAGCTTTTCGAAAAACTAAGTAAGCGGAAAAAATTGGAAGAATCTGAAAACCAAAAAAATGGAAAAAATCGAAAAAATCAAGCAATCGAAAATTTGAAAGCAAAAAAGCGAAAAATCCAGCAATTAAAATGCGAAAAATCGCGGATCAGTAAATTCGAAAAATCGAAAAATGAAAGAATCGAAAAACCAAAACAAAGAAAGAAAAATCAAAAAATCGAAAAAATCGGAAAATCGAGAACTCGGAAAATCTTAATCTAGAGTAATTCAGAAGTTGAAAAATCAAAAAATTTTAAAGCCTTCAATTTGATTTGCAATTTTTCGATGTTACAAATTTTCATTTTGCGATTTTCTTGATTTTTTTTTCATTCTGCAACTTTTTATTTTCCATTTTCTCAATTTTAGACCATAATTTTTTGTTTTATAATTTTTTTTATTTTTGCAATCTTTCTTTCGGCTTTATAATTTTGCTGTTATTTAATTCGTCAAATTTTCAGTTTTGGATTTTTCAGTTTTCCAATTTTTAGATTTTTCAATTTTCAATCGAAAACACGGAAAAAATCGAAACATTGAAAACAAAAAAATTTAAATAAGTCAATGAATCGAAAAATTGGTAACAAGAAAAAACAAATCGAATCGAAAAATTGGATAAAAATTGTAAAATCGTCAAAATTATAAAGTGGAAAACTGTAACATTGAAAGATCGAAAAATTGAAAAGTTAAATAACAAAAAATTGAAAATTACAAATCGACAAATTGAAAAATGAATAAAAAAGTTTTAAAATCCACTAATTGAAAATTGGAAAAATTTTATAACCCTACAATTGAAAAAGTAGATTTATTTTTTAAATTATAAAAAATATTAGATACATATTTAAAAGGATAACTAGAAAAATTGCAAATCAAAAATTAAAGAAACTGAAAAGTCTAAAATTGAAAAAGCCAAAATTTAAATATCTAAAAGTTGAAAAACCGAGAAAAAGAAAACCAAAAAATTGTAAATCGAAAAATTGAAAATGAGGACATTGAATAATCATAAAATTAAAAAATAAAGAAAATAAAAAACCGAAACGAAAAATTTTAAATCGGAAAATTGCAAAAGCTAAAAATTGAAACATTCAAAAGTTGAAAATGAAAAATCGAAAAATTGAAAAAATTAAGAAAAGAAATTAGAATTGCAGATCGAAAAATGGAAGAAATAAAAAATTGAAAAATCTAAAAATCGAACAATTGTAAACTGAAAAGTGATAAAATTGCAAAATCTAAAAAATGACACTTCGAAAATTTCACCAAAACACTCAAACTTTTTTCAGATTTTTTTTAGTGAAAATGTTTACGATATTTTAAAATTTTTGAAAAGAGGGGAGTTGTGACTTCCAAAATAAAAACCAATTTATTTATTTTTCAATTTATTTTTCAACGATTTAAACAATCTAATATAAAATAGCTTCTACGTTCACACTTAAGTACTACATAAGTACCAACCGCAGAAAATCCACAATAATTTATCTATCTTTACAACAGTCTTATTAAACACTATCCTAATGAGAAATTGTCATATTTTTCTAAATCATTACAAAATTCCTACTTATTCAGAATTTGTTGAATTTCCAGCAGCGTCGTCCCCCTAGTTTCGGGCACCACAACCGCCACATAAATCGTAGCAAGTGCCATAATCCCCGCACAAATATAAAACGAAATGTGCGCCCCCAGACTATTATTAATAATCGGGAAGAAATAAGTGACCAAAAACGCGCACGACCAATTCGTGGCGATAGCAAACCCATTCCCAATCCCTTTAACCTCCGGTGCGAACAACTCACCCATGAGCAACCACGGAATTGGCCCATACCCAATCGAGAACGAAATCATGAACATGACAACACTACCAATCGGAATAAAACCCAAAGAACTAATATCGACATTCAAACGCTTCAAGTGGAAATACATCCCCAGAGCGGTCAAAAACAGCAGCATCCCGACAGAAGACAGCATCAAGTAGAATCTCCTGTTGGCTTTTTCTATAATGAAGATGGACACGTAGGAGCACAAAACTTGTACTAGTGCTATAATGATTCCAGCCAGATTAGGCGAAATGCTGCTGCCAACTGCCTGGAAGATTGGAACCGTGTAGAAGACCACAGCGTTGACTCCACACAGCTGCTGGAACGCCAACACTGCAACTACTGACATGAACGCTCTTCGGTTTGCTTTAAAAGTGAAGATGTCTTTAATGCTTGCTGAGTTCTTATGCGAATTGTCCCATATATATATTTTTTTTTCTGTACAGGGAAAATTTGAAAAAAAACGTCGAAGTCCTAAACATAAAAAACTGGCCCAAAATTAAAGGAATTCCGGAATCGACGGACGTAATGATAAGCATTTGGGAGAACGCGAGGGGGCAGAAAACCCAGAATTTTCCTACGTTGGTGTGCTGCGAGTAAGTTGCTCGATTTTGTATGTAATAACATTTAGAGAAATGGTTTTAGTGACGGGATAAGTTCGAGCAGTCTGGTGGTTTGCTTTTTCTACATGGCTGATAAAATGCTCCAGGAAAGAAAGTGCGATGTGGTGGGTGCTGTTAAGGCCGTGCGTCGTAGCCACACGAAGTTTATCAATTTCGAGCAGTTCGTGTTTCTGCATCACTGTGCGTTGGCTTTTTATAAAAACTGCTACAAAACATACGGCGAAAGTCTGTAGTGCATTGGCGAATTGTAGGAAATTGTGGTGTTAAAAAAATTTGGTGCTCGAGTGGACCATGTAATCAACTATATGTTGGAACTATTATGTATTTTTATAATTTTCACACTTTTGTTATTTATTTGTATGTAAATCAAAGAATTATAGTTTTTACTGTTTTGGTGAGTTGAAAAACGGTTACCATCTTTGCAGATCCGACACTGATTTTGTAGTATTCGTTACTGAGCACAAGGGAATCTAGTTGAAGTAAATTTAGGTTTGAGAAAAGTTTCACCTGATGGCGCCACCATACAAAACCTGGAAACCTGCTACACAGAAATCTTTAATCTGATAGACCAGTAAAGAATACTAAAAAATAATTCTTTACTGGTCTATCAGATTAAAGAACTCTGTAAAGGCAGCAATTTAAATCAATATATTCATAACTCGTTGATTAAATACATACTTTCTACAATTTAAAGTACATAATATTCATACCTTGACTGTTTTCTAACAATTGGCACATGCAAAAATCATTGGAAAATGATTAAAAAAAATTGGTCGAAAGTTATTTCAACAGAACTTCCCTCTCTTCTGAAGTACTGTCCAACAAATACTAGGTACTTCTCTGAAAAATTATAAAACGCTTTCTGATTGGTTATTTTTGGATTGATTTAGAGTAAAAAAAAACATTTGCGGATCAACGGTCAGTAAACTTAAGCAGTTGTTCTAATAATAATAATAATGCTCGAGATCTCCTTTTGTTTCAATTTTTCTATTTTTCAGTGTTCGGTGGTCCTAAATTTGCAATTTTTATTACATAATATTTCGATGTATCGATTTTTTGATTTTTCTATTTCTCAGTTTTTAGACTTCGATTTTTGTTCCGCTTTTTGATTTTTCGACTTTTTGATTTTAGAACTTCCCGATTTCTAGATTTTTTTAATTTTTCGAAGTTTTCAGTTTTGAGATTTTTAAATCTTTCTTCGATTTTTCAATTTTTAGATGTTCGAATTTTCGATATTGGAGTTTTGGGATTTTTCAATTTCTCGTTTTTCGATTTCTCGTTTTTTTTTTTGATTTTTCGATTTTTTTTTCGATTCTCAGCTTTCTGGTATTTCCAGTTTTACGATTCTTCGATTCTTTCATTTTTCGATTTTTCAGTAATTAGATTTTTCAGGGTTTTGATTTCTTAATTTTCCGTTGCTTATTTTTACGATTTTCCACTTTTTCAATTGTTCAATTTTTGGAACTTCTAAATTTTCGATTTCTTGATCTCTAGAATTTTCGAATTTTTTGTTTTTGATTTTTCGACATTTCGATTTTTTGGGTTTCCAAATTCGTCGGTTTCTCGACTTGTCAATGTTTCGATTTTAGGTTTTTTCAATTTTTCGTTCTTCAGGTTTTTATTTTTCAATTTAATGATTTTTTCGATTTACGTCTTTTTTTTAATTTGCGATTTTTCAAATTTTCGATTTCTAGATTTTTACATTTTTTGATGTTTTCTGTTCTGGAATGTTTCAATTTTTCAATTTTTAATTTCACGATTTTCAAATTTTTAATTTCACGATTTTCAAATTTTAGATTTCCCGATTTTTTTTATTTTTCGATTTCTGAAATTTTTGAAATTTCGATTTTTCGACTTTTAAATTTTCGGCGTTCCTAAATTTTTATTTCATAATTTCTCGATTAATCGATTTTTCGATTTTTTGATTTTTCAGTTTTTTAATTTTCTCAATTCTCAATTTTTAGATTTTTCGATTTTTTGATGTTACCAGTGTTGGGCTTTTCACATTTTTCCTCAATTTTTCAATTTTTGGATATTTCTTTTAATTTTGCAATTTCTCTATTTATCGATTTATTATTTCTTCGATTTTTCAATTTTTCAGTTTTTTGATGTTTCGATTTCTCTATTTTACAGATTTTCAATTTTTTTTTCGATTTTTCAGCTTTCCGGTATTTCCAGTTTTACGATTCTTCGATTCTTCGATTCTTCGATGACTCGCGTTTCTCAGTGATTAGATTTTTCAGGTTTTTGATTTCTCAATTTTCCGTTGCTTATTTTTACGATTTTACACTTTTTCAATTCTTCAATTTTTGGAATTTGTAAATTTTCGATTTTTAGATTTCTCAATTTCTCGATTATTGAATTTTCGATCTTTCGATTTCTTGGTTTCTAGAATTTTCTAATTTTTGATTTTTTGATTTTTCGACTTTTCGATTTTTTGGTTTTCCAATTTCTTCTGTTTCTCGACTTGTCAATGTTTCGATTTTAGGTTTTTTCAATTTTTCGATTCTTCAGGTTTTCATTTTTCAATTTGATTTTTTCGATTTACGCTTTTTTTAATTTGTTGATTTTTCAAATTTTCGATTTCTAAATATTTCAGTTTTTTAATTTCCCGATTTTCAAATTTTAGATTTATCGATTTTTTATTTTTCGATTTCTGAAATTTTCGAAATTTCGATTTTTCTATTTTTAAATTTTCGGCGTTCCTAAATTTTCAATTTTTATTGCACAATTTCTCAATTAATCGATTTTTCGATTTCTTGATTTTCGGATTTTTGAATTTTTTAATTTTCTCAATTCTCAATTTTTAGATTTTTCAATTTATTGATGTTTCCAGTGTTGGGGTTTTCAAATTTTTCCTCGATTTTTCTATTTTTGGATATTTCTCTTATGGAATTTTTCAAAATTTTGCAATTTCTCTATTTATCGATTTATTATTTCTTCGATTTTTCAATTTTTCAGTTTTTTGATGTTTCGATTTCTCTATTTTACAGATTTTCCATTTTTTTTTTCGATTTCTCAGATTTCCAGTACTTTTAGTTTTACGATTCTTCGATTCCTTCATTTTTCGATTTTTCGATTTTCTGACTCGTGTTTCTCGTTTCGAATTTTCAGTGATTAGATTTTTCAGGTTTTTGATTTCTCAATTTTCCGTTGCTTATTTTTACGATTTTCCACTTTTTCAATTGTTCAATTTTTGGAATTTCTAAATTTTCGATTTTTAGTTTTCTCAATTTCTCGATTATTGAATTTTCGATCTTTCGATTTCTTGATTTCTAGACTTTTCGAATTTTTGGTTTTTTGATTTTTCGACTTTTCGATTTTTTGGTACCAATTTCCTCGGTTTCTCGACTTGTCAATGTTTCGATTTTAGATTTTTTCAATTTTTCGATTCTTCAGATTTTCATTTTTCAATTTATTGATTTTTTCGATTTACGCTTTTTTTAATTTGTTGATTTTTCAAATTTTCGATTTCTAAATATTTCAATTTTTTAATTTCCCGATTTTCAAATTTTAGATTTATCGATTTTTTATTTTTCGATTTCTGAAATTTTCGAAATTTCGATTTTTCTATTTTAAAATTTTCGGCGTTCCTAAATTTTCAATTTTTATTGCACAATTTCTCGATTAATCGATTTCTTGATTTTCGGATTTTTGAAATTTTTAATTTTCTCAATTCTCAATTTTTAGATTTTTCGATTTTTTGATGTTTCCAGTGTTGGGGTTTTCAAATTTTTCCTCGATTTTTCTATTTTTGGATATTTCTCTTATGGAATTTTTCAAAATTTTGCAATTTCTCTATTTATCGATTTATTATTTCTTCGATTTTTCAATTTTTCAGTTTTTTGATTTTTCGATTTCTCTATTTTACAGATTTTCCATTTTTTTTTCGATTTCTCAGCTTTCCAGTACTTTTAGTTTTACGATTCTTCGATTCCTTCATTTTTCGATTTTTCGATTTTCTGACTCGCGTTTCTCGTTTCGATTTTTCAGTGATTAGATTTTTCAGGTTTTTGATTTCTCAATTTTCCGTTGCTTATTTTTCCAATTTTCCACTTTTTCAAATGTTCAATTTTTGGAATTTCTAAATTTTAGATTTTTAGATTTCTCAATTTCTCGATTATTGAATTTTCGATCTTTCGATTTCTTGATTTCTAGACTTTTCGAATTTTTGGTTTTTTGATTTTTCGACTTTTCGATTTTTTGGTACCAATTTCGTCGGTTTCTCGACTTGTCAATGTTTCGATTTTAGGTTTTTTCAATTTTTCGATTCTTCAGGTTTTCATTTTTCAATTCATTGATTTTTTCGATTTACGTTTTTTTTTAAATTGCTGATTTTTCAAATTCTCGATTTCTAAATTTTTCAATTTTTTGAACTTTTCTGTTTTGGAATGATTCAATTTTTCAATTTTTTAAATTCCCGATTTTCAAATTTTAGATTTCTGCATTTTTTTTATTTTTCGATTTCTGAAATTTTCGAAATTTCGATTTTAAAATTTTCGGCTTTCCTAAATTTTCAATTTTTATTGCACAATTACTCGATTTTTCAAATTGTCTTCGATTTTTCAATTTTTGGGTATTTCTCTTGTGGAATTTTTCAAAATTTTGCAATTTCTCTATTTATCGATTTATTATTTCTTCGATTTTTCAGTTTTTCAGTTTTTTGATGTTTCGATTTCTCTATTTTACAGATTTTCGATTCTTTAATTTTTCGTTATTTTAAATTTTACATTTTTCAATTTTCTTTGTGCCAATTTCACAATCTGCGATTTTTCGACTTCACAGTTTTAAATTTTCCGGTATTATATTTCGGTTTTCAAATTTCTCGATTTTTCAACTTTTCGATTGTTCAGTTTCCCGATTAAATTTCTCAATTTTTTAATTTTTCGATTTCACATTTGATGTTCGATCACTTGATCTTTTGATATTTCGATTCCTCAATGTTTCAATTTTTAATTTTTCACCTTTTCGAAAAACTAAGAAAGCGGAAAAAATTGGAAGAATCTGAAAACCGAAAAAAATGGAAAAAATCGAAAAAATCAAGCAATCGAAAATTTGGAAGCAAAAACCGAAAAATCGAACAATTAAAATGCTAAAAATTGCGGATCAGTAAATTCGAAAAATCGAAAAACGGAAGCATCGAAAAGCCAAAATAAAGAAAGAAAAATCAAAAAATCGAAAAAATCAGAAAATCGAGAACTCGGAAAATCTTAATCTGGAGTAATTCAGAACTTGAAAAATCAAAAAATTTTAAAGTTTTCAGTTTGATTTGCAATTTGTCGATGTTACAATTTTTCATTTTTCGATTTTCTTGATTTTTTTTTTCATTCTGCAACTTTTTGATTTCAATTTTCTCAATTTTAGACCATAATTTTTTGTTTTATATTTTTTTTTATTTTTGCAATCTTTTTTTCAATTTTATAATTTTGCTATTATTCAATTCTTCAAATTTTCAGTTTTGCATTTTTCAGTTTTCCAATTTTTAGATTTTTCAATTTTCAATCGAAAAAAACGGAAAAAATCGAAACTTTGAAAACCAAAAAATTTTAAAAAAGTCAAAGAATCGAAAAATTGGTAACAAGAAAAAACAAATCGAATTGAAAGATTGGATAAAAATTGAAAAATCGTCCAAGTTATAAAGTGGAAAACTGTAACATTGAAAGATCGAAAAGTTGAAAAATGAAATGACAAGAAATAGAAAATTACAAATCGACAAATTGAGAAATGCATGAAAGTTTTATAATCCAATAATTGAAAAATTGGAAAAATTAGAAAATCGTAAAACTGAAAAGTGAAAACTTTTTTAAAGTTATTATTATTAACATATTTCAAATGAAAACTATAAAAATTTCAAATCAAAAATCGAAGAAACTGAAAATTGAAAAATCGAGAAACTGAAAAATATAAAGTTGAAAAACCGAAAAAAAGAAAACCAAAAAATCGTAAATCGGTAAATTGAAAATGAGGACATTGATAATCATAAAATTAAAAAAATGAAGAAAATAAAAAACCGAAACGAAAAATTTTAAATCGGAAAATTGCAAAAGCTAAAAATTGAAACATTCAAAAGTTGGAAATGAAACAAAAATTGAAAAATCGAGAAACTGAAAAATCTGAAATTGAAAAAACGGAAAACTAAAAATTGCAGATCGATAAATGGAAGAAATAAAAAATTGAAAAATCTAAAAATCGAACAATTGTATACTGAAAACTGATAAAATTGCAAAATCTAAAAATTGAAGCTTCCAAAATTTCACCAAAAAACTCAAACTTTTTTGAGATTTTTTTTAGTGAAAATGTTTACGATATTTTAAAATTTTTGAAAAGAGGGGAGTTGTGACTTTCAAAATAAAAACCATTTTATTTATTTTTCAATTTATTTTTCAACGATTTAAACAATCTAATATAAAATAGCTTCTACGTTCACACTTAAGTACTACATAAGTACCAGCCGCAGAAAATCCACAATAATTTATCTATCTTTACAACAGTCTTATCAAACATTATCCTAATGAGAAATTGTCATATTTTTCTAAATCATTACAAAATTCCTACTTATTCAGAATTTGTTGAATTTCCAGCAGCGTCGTGCCCCTAGTTTCGGGCACCACAACCGCCACATAAATCGTAGCAAGTGCCATAATCCCCGCACAAATATAAAACGAAATGTGCGCCCCCAGACTATTATTAATAATCGGGAAGAAATAAGTGACCAAAAACGCGCACGACCAATTCGTGGCGATAGCAAACCCATTCCCGATCCCTTTAACCTCTGGTGCGAACAACTCACCCATGAGCAACCACGGAATTGGCCCATACCCAATCGAAAACGAAATCATGAACATGACAGCACTACCAATTGGAATAAAACCCAAAGGACTAATATCGACATTCAAACGCTTCAAGTGGAAATACATCCCGAGAGCTGTCAAAAACAGCAGCATCCCGACAGAAGACAGCATCAAGTAGAATCTCCTGTTGGCTTTTTCTATAATGAAGATGGACACGTAGGACGACAAAACTTGTACTAGAGCTATAATGATTCCAGCGAGATTAGGCGAAAGGCTGCTGCCAGCTGCCTGGAAGATCGGAACCGTGTAGAAGACCACAGCGTTGACTCCACACAGCTGCTGGAACGCCAAGACTGCAACTACTGACATGAACGCTCTTCGGTTTGCTTTAGACGTGAAGATGTCTTTAATGCTTGCGGAGTTCTTATGCGAATTGTCGATTTCCTTCTGGATGTCTTTGAGTTCTGTGTGGATGTCGTAGTTGCTACCTCTGAGTCCAAGTAGAGTCTTCTCGGCTCGTTGGAGGTTGCTAATTTTGACTAAGTAGACTGGAGTTTCGGGCATGAAGAGGAAGCTAGCACCGAAGATTACAGGAACGGCTGCTAAGATCATCGAAAGCACTCTCCAGGTGGTGAAAGAACCAAACACACAGGTTAGAAGAATTCCAGTGCAGAGGAACATGTTGATGAACGCTCCTAGGATGCCTCGGACTGAAGACTCGGCGATTTCTCCTATGTACATGGGTCCGACGACACAAATGGCCCCAGTTCCTATTCCAGCGAAGATTCGACCAGCGATCAAAGTTGCTGAATTTTGAGCAAAAATGATTAGCAGCCAATTTAGAAGAAACATTAAGGAAACGAAGAAGATTATTTTCTTTCGTCCGAACTTGTCGGCGAGGAAACCAGCCGGAATTGCAGAAATTAGGGCCCCTATTGCTATCATTCCACCCACGGCGGCGCCTTCAGAGTTCGTGAGGTGGAAACTCTCGGTGGAGTTGTCAGTTTTGGTCAGGATCGAGAGTTGGGAGAGGGCTGGGGAGGTCCAAGCCAGACAAGTGCCAGCACATAGCGCACCCAAAGATACTACAAAAAAAAAACCCAAAATTATACACCGGTCACGATTTTCACAATTTGTTATTAGTTTTGAGAAAAAAAAAAAAAAAACTAACCTGATGTTGCTGCTACGTACTGCTTCATTTTTCGCCCGGAGGTCCTCGGTGCGTTTGGATGGAGCATCGGAGTGTTCGTATCTGCATCACGATCCATGATTAGAGATCAAAATGTCAATTAACTTATCGAAATTTCGTGGAACAATTTATTCACTTTTTTATCGCAAAGGGATTACGTTTATGTTTCAAATCAATATGACTTCTCTTTTATAAGATCCCTTAATAAAACAATAACCCTTCCACCGAATCTCTTATCTTGTTTGATTTGTCAAGTACGGATTTTGGTTTCGAACAAAACAATACTAATTATTTTAAAATTACGGTTGTGTGCACGGAGCGTTCAATAATTTTTATAAATATTTAACAAAGCTTAAAATTGAAAGAGAGACTTAGGAAGCAAATATTTTGTTAAAATTAATTTTAAACAATGAATAGCGAAAGAAACACTTACGAGTTATTTTTTAAAAATAATCCGGACTTGTCCGGAGTCACTGGCACAGGACAAAGTGTAGTGATTTATGTTCGCGTTCATCCATGGCTGTTAATATTGACGTAATACAAGAGTAATCCCCATATTTGTTCAACTGATTCTAACTTTCTCACCTTGCATATAATTATAAACAAGTAAAAACCCAAGTTTTCGACACAATATTTTATTAAAAATATCAACATTGAGATTTTATTTACAATATACAAAAAGATGACTAGTATTAATACTTAGCGTTTGTCTTTGGTAATTACATAAATATATTCGATTATGACAAATCGTTGCTTTAGGTTTCGATTTTATCAGTTGCTACGTTTCGACCACAAATTTAACGATGGAAAATTTTGACAAATTATTTAAAAAAACAGTAGCAACGGGAAGGAAGGAATGACTTATCAACAGATCACTCCACTTTTTATCAGATTGATCCTATCAAACACTTGAAACGAATAAGACAAGTCGGCGACCCGTCCTAGAATTTTGGTCACACAAAAAATGTTCAAAATTTTTACAAAATTTTATAGTCACTATTGGTTATTACCTTTACGATTAATAAGTAACTCTAGAACGGTCTTGAGCACTTGCACTGCACTCTCACCCAGTTATCTTGTTTATTACCTATACAGTTGGAGAGTGTTTATATTTATTAGATGTTAGTTGGAGTTGGGAAACTGATTTCTTACAATTTCGGTTATCTTTTTTCAATAAAACGCGTTGGCGTAAACACATTTTCTAAATAATGTTTTTATAGTGCCGGTCTCTGTAAATTAAATTAGAACAATCGTGGCACTTTTATGACTTAATTTGAAAAAGAACGTAACACTTCATGAAAATGTGTCTGCGTTTGTTGTTTTTTCACCTTACGCACGTCTTTGTACTATTATCTAATTTCCAGAGGACAGATTGTTTTGTTTTGTCGACGTGAATCACAATAGTGTTGTTAAAAGTTTTAGATTAATTAGAACTAAGTGTACTAAAAACAATATATTTTTTTTTAATTGTTTAAGTTTATGAATTCGCTCAAATTATTGTAACAAAGTTATTACGCCATCACTAGAAAAACTTGTTGACACTATAAGTTTAACAATGCTTATCTTACCATCACTACATAGATTTCTACAGATTAGTTGCTTCACTTGAGGAAATTAGTATCTACTTAACCCAGAATAAATTACGTATTTATTTGCACGTAATACATTCTTACTTATCGCAATTCGATTAAGTCTAGTAATGAAGCTTCAGTTTCGGATAATCACCTAGTGATATTTTTTTCTTATACAGGAGGTTAAAAATTGTAATCTCAGGTGTTCAACCACGTTTTTCTTATTTCTAATGAACTGCGTATATCGGTAGACAAACGACCTGTAATTAGTTATTTTATTGCGTCAGACTCCCGTTACACATTATTATTATAAAAAAAATCTAGAGATTAATAAATGCAACACAATTTATGTAAGAAAAAAAAGGATTTAAAAGACAATTTTTGTTTATAGCAGTTGTTTACGAAAGGTCTAGAAAATTTTATTTTGTTAGAATAACCCCTAGATGTTAAGATATATTACAAATCGGTTATGTAAGTTCTAGTTCTACACTTTTTATTTTTTTTAAGATTATTTATTTAATCTTAAGATTAAAGGTATGTGTGTATTATTACATCGCAAGTAAAAGAGCAAGTCATGACTTAGTTAGTAAATTTTGATGAGCACTCTATAACCATTCCCATTTTCTATATGTGTTTCTAGGTTTAGCAGTTGTGGTCTGACTCAAAAATGTTTTGATTTAGAGTTGACTCTGATTCTGAATTTGACTCCCGGTCCTTCTTGTCAAATTATAAAGATAATAATAATTCAGTATTTAACAGTTACTTTTGAAATTGTGTGGTGGTATTTTTTTAAATTATGATGCATTTTAATCCTGGACTAAAAAATATTTTGATTTAAAGTTGATTATGACTCTGAATTTGTCTTCCTGGTTCCTCCCGTCAAAACATAAAGATAATAATAATACAGTATTTTACAGTCACTTTTGAAAATTTTACTTTAAGAAAATTTAAAACACGTCTTAAAATTCGCAAAATTATGAAAACTGGACACAACTGTGAATTATTATTTTTCTGAAAATTATTTCTATTTCAAACAAGTATTACAAAATTTGGCCTTTTTCGACAGTTAATTAAACAGTATTTTTTTTAATTTTCATTCTTTTCTTTCAAATGTTGATGAAACACCGAATTTTTTGTTTCCATCTAAAATTTAAACAAGATTTTTTTACAAAAAATATATGTGTATTGATTTTTTCTGCGTGATGAAGGTTCTGTATACCGAAAAAAATGTGGCAGTGATCTACAAATAAATTATTTTGGAATTAAAACTACATTTTTATTTATAAATTAATGATGAAGCTCCAATGATTCCTCAATTTAAATATCGAAGAAATTAAAAATACGTCTTAGGAAATTTTTGGAAAAAATGATATATTTTGTACTAATCTTTTTTTAAATCTAGTTATCATTGTTTTAAAGAAGGTGATTTTTTTTTAATTGGCCTATAAATTTTTTGACATTGTGCAACCACATAGTCACTATTCCCAATGTGTGGTGGTATTTTGTTTAATTATGATGCATTTTTATCCTGGACTCAAAAATATTTTGATTTAGAGTTGATTATGACTCTGAATTTGTCTTCCTGGTTCCTCCCGTCAAAACATAAAGATAATAATAATACAGTATTTTACAGTCACTTTTGAAAATTTGACTTTAAGAAAATTTAAAACACGTCTTAAAATTCGCAAAATTTATAAAAACTGGACACAACTGTGAATTATTATTTTTCTGAAAATTGTTTCTATTTCAAACAAGTATTAAAAAATTGGGCCTTTTTCGACAGTTAATTACACAGTTTTTTTTTAATTTTCACTCTTTTCTTTCAAATGTTGATGAAACACCGAATTTTTTGTTTCCATCTAAAATTTAAACAAGATTTTTTTACAAAAAATATATGTGTATTGATTTTTTCTGCGTGATGAAGGTTCTGTATACCGAAAAAAATGTGGCAGTGATCTACAAATAAATTATTTTGGAATTAAAACTACATCTATTTATAAATTAATGATGAAAATCCAATGATTCCTCAATTTAAATATTGAAGAAATTAAAAATATGGCTTAGGAAAATTTTGTAAAAATTATATATTTTGTATTAATCTTTTTTTAAATCTGGTTATCATTGCTTTAAATAGGCGATTTTTTTTTATCGTCCTATAAATTTTTTGACATTGTGCAATCACTTAGTTAGCATTCCCATTGTGTGGTGGTATTTTGTTTAATTATGATGCATTTTTATCCTGGACTCAAAAATATTTGGATTTAGAGTTGATTATGACTCTGAATTTGTCTTCCTGGTTCCTCCCGTCAAAACATAAAGATAATAATAATACAGTATTTTACAGTCACTTTTGAAAATTTGACTTTAAGGGAATTTAAAACACATCTTAAAATTCGCAAAATTTATAAAAAGTGGACACAACTGTGAATTATTATTTTTCTGAAAATTGTTTCTATTTCAAACAAGTATTAAAAAATTGGGCCTTTTTCGACAGTTAATTACACAGTTTTTTTTTTAATTTTCACTCTTTTCTTTCAAATATTGATGAAACACCGAATTTTTTGTTTCCATCTAAAATTTAAACAAGATTTTTTTACAAAAAATATATGTGTATTGATTTTTTCTGCGTGATGAAGGTTCTGTATACCGAAAAAAATGTGGCAGTGATCTACAAATAAATTATTTTGGAATTAAAACTACATCTATTTATAAATTAATGATGAATATCCAATGATTCCTCAATTTAAATATCGAAGAAATTAAAAATACGGCTTAGGAAATTTTTGGAAAAAATGATATATTTTGTACTAATCTTTTTTTAGATCTGGTTATCATTGTTTTAAAGAAGGTGATTTTTTTTAAACGGCCCATAACTTTTTTGACATTGTGCAACCACTTAGTCACTATTCCCAATGTGTGGTGGTATTTTGTTTAATTATGATGCATTTTTATCCTGGACTCAAAAATATTTTGATTTAGAGTTGATTATGACTGGGAATTTGACTTCCTGGTCCCTCCCGTCAAAACATAAAATTATAATAATACAGTATTTTACAGTCACTTTTGAAAATTTGACTTTAAGAAAATTTAAAACACGTCTTAAAATTCGCAAAATTTATAAAAAGTGGACACAACTGTGAATTATTATTTTTCTGAAAATTGTTTCTATTTCAAACAAGTATTAAAAAATTGGGCCTTTTTCGACAGTTAATTACACAGTTTTTTTTTTAATTTTCACTCTTTTCTTTCAAATGTTGATGAAACACCGAATTTTTTGTTTCCATCTAAAATTTAAACAAAATTTTTTACAAAAAATATATGTATATTGAGTACTTCTGCGTGATGAAGGTTCTGTATACCGAAAAAAGTGTAGCAGTGATCTACAAATACATTATTTTGGAATTAAAACTACATTTATTTATAAATTAATGATGAAGCTCGAACGATTCCTCAATTTAAATATTGAAGAAATTAAAAATATGGCTTAGGAAAATTTTGTAAAAATTATATATTTTGTATTAATGTTTTTTCTAAATCTGGTTATCATTACTTTAAAGACGACGAATTTTTTAATCGTCCTATAAATTTTTTGACATTGTGCAATCACTTAGTCACCATTCCCAGTGTGTGGTGGTATATTTTTTAAATTATGATGGATTTTTATCCTGTACTCAAAAATATTTTGATTTAGAGTTGATTATGACTCTGAATTTGGCTTCCAGGTCCCTCCTGTCAAAACATAAAAATAATAATAATACAGTATTTTGCAGTCACTTCTGAAAATTTGACTTTAAGAAAATTTAAAACACGTCTTAAAATTCGCAAAATTATGAAAACTGGACACAACTGTGAATTATTATTTTTCTGAAAATTATTTCTATTTCAAACAAGTATTAAAAAATTTGGCCTTTTTCGACAGTTAATTAAACAGTATTTTTTTTAATTTTCATTCTTTTCTTTCAAATGTTGATGAAACACCGAATTTTTTGTTTCCATCTAAAATTTAAACAAAATTTTTTTACAAAAAATATGTGTATTGAGTTCTTCTGCGTGATGAAGGTTCTGTATACCGAAAAAAAGTGTAGCAATGATCTACAAATAAATTATTTTGGAATTAAAACTACATTTATTTATAATTAATGATGAAGATCCACTGATTCCTCAATCTAAATATCGAAGAAATTAAAAATATGGCTTAGGAAAATTTTGTAAAAATTATATATTTTGTATTAATCTTTTTTTAAATCTGGTTATCATTGCGTTAAAAAGGCGATTTTTTTAATCGTCCTATACATTTTTTGACATTGTGCAATCACTTACTCACCATTACCAATGTGTGGTGGTATTTTTTTAAATTATGATGCATTTTATCCTGGACTCAAAAATATTTTGATTTAGAGTTGATTATGACTCTGAATTTGTCTTCCTGGTTCCTCCCGTCAAAACATAAAGATAATAATAATACAGTATTTTACAGTCACTTTTGAAAATTTGACTTTAAGAAAATTTAAAACACATCTTAAAATTCGCAAAATTTATAAACACTGGACACAACTGTGAATTATTATTTTTCTGAAAATTATTTCTATTTCAAACAAGTATTAAAAAATTTGGCCTTTTTCGACAGTTAATTAAACAGTATTTTTTTTTAATTTTCATTCTTTTCTTTCAAATGTTGATGGAACACCGAATTTTTTGTTTCCATCTAAAATTTAAACAAGATTTTTTTACAAAAAACATATGTGTATTGATTTTTTCTGCGTGATGAAGGTTCTGTATACCGAAAAAAATGTGGCAGTAACCTACAAATAAATTATTTTGGAATTAAAACTACATCTATTTATAAATTAATGATCAAAATCCAATGATTCCTCAAT